CTAAAACATCTCAGTGAACACTTGAGGCGAGACTTGAGCCATACAATTCCTGAATCTGTCTTAATTTTAGATCAACAAAGTTTAGTTTTAAAGTCTTTCATGAGTTTTTAGAGGCAGTGAGTCACACTGGACGCCCCTGATTTGCATATAGTAGCCTTGATTCAACTCAATGTAAATGAAAAATGGACAGCCTGTCTCTCGAAAGGCAATGCAGCGCTACCACAATGCATTGCACGGTTGCTTACATAGAAAATATATATATTGTCGGCAGTGACAGATCTTGTGGACATGTACGTGTTTCAAAAAACAGTCATACACGTCTAAGTATGTGGACAATCAAACTACACACCCATACGTGATCGTTGAACATCTTACTCCAAAACCATGTGCATTACTTTGTTGCTTTAACATCGTCCATTACACAGACCTTCTAATAAGATTTACGCACTTGGCTGCAGGCCTTTGCTCCCCTTCAGAGGTGTGAAGTCAATGTTCCACTTCATCCCCAAAGGTGCTGGATGGAGCTGAGGTCAAGGCTCTTTCGGGACCAGTCAAGTTCATCCACACCAGATTTATCTTTTTATATTATGCATGTTTTGTATGTGTGTGTGTGTTTGTTTTAAAGAAAAAGAAGAACACAAAGAAGAACCAAGGTGACACCACCACCTCACCAACACTGCTGAAGCCTGCTATCACAGCACCAGCCCTGAGCAGAATCACTAAGTGACCAGGAAATAAATACAAATAAATCAATCGTGACTTTGCTATACATACAAGAGCCCACTCAACATGCTTACATATTAAAAAATATGGAGAGAAATGATCATAGTAGTAAACTAAACTGTGAGCCTTTCACATTTCTTTCACTGACATACAATGAGCCCTGTGGCTATGAGCTAAACCCACCTACACATCAGGGAGCAGACAGATTATACCACTAACACAATGACTGCCTCCTGAAGTGGGTCACTTCACACACACAAGCCACAGTTAGTATCTGTTCAGTTTTCTCCTTTGATAAAGCACAAAAAAATCATTTGAGATGAACTAAAAGTTTGGATCCGCCTGCCACAAAAGCTTGATCAGGCTCAGTCAGAGGGCTGAGAGGTCCATATTTTTTAATCATCTTTCATGATTTTAGGCTGTTGAAAGTCTTCTTCTCAAAAAGATGTTATTTTGTGTGAAGCATTTGTTTTGTACATGGAGAACGAAATACTGTGCAGCAGTTCAACCAGACTGACAACTGAGAGGGCAGAAAGACACAAAAATACCTCTAAGCAACAGTTCAAAAAGAATAGAAAAAAATCTCCAGTCACAGGTAAAAGAAAACTGGAGGCTTAGCATCAAAATGTGTGCAGATTTAAGCAAGTTCCTGTGTCAGTGTCAAGTGCACATTAACGCCGAAAAGGAGCTACAATTAACAGGCATGTAGCTTTGGCAGTGCTATTCTCTGAACGTCACAACGGGTATAGAAAACTAGTTATATAGTTGGATCAGGAAACATCAGCTGAACATACTGTGGACTGACAATACACAGCTTAAATCTGTTTAATTAATAGACTGCAGAGAACTCAAAGTAAAATGGACAAACTGAATATTTAGAGCCAAATTAAAAGCAGTGTCGTGGTTCAGTAATGATCAAGGGTTATTTGTGCTTTTCTGGACTGGAAAACAAGTCCCAGTTCCAACAGTATTCTCTCCTGTCATGCAACACTGTAGGGACTCCACACAATGGAAGTTTTGATCATTTAATCATTCATCTTTGGGGACAAAAACTATTTTAAATGTAAATAATACATCTGGTGTCTGAATTATACAGTTTTTATTTATCTCTGTGATAATAGCCATTATTGAAGGAACGAAGAAAAACATCAGTATAAAAGTTGATTCCAAACTTTTGAATGCAGTGTAGAGTATATCAATCCTGAATATACTGTGCAAATTGTTAAAGGTTTAGTGTGTAATACTTAGTGGTGTCTAGCAGTGAAGATTGCAGTTTGCAACCAGCTGAAACTTCTCCCGACTAGAATTCCTTCAGTCTTATTTTTCAGGAGGTTTTTTTTTTAGGGGAGTGACATCATCCACGAAGGTCTCCTACTCTCCAAAACACACAGCTCAGGTGATTAAAACTGGTAAAAACACTGAATAAACCAGTTTCACGTTACAAATCAGTGTATCTTTGATGCTGTTTGGCATGTCAGAGACAGCTCACCCGACAAATGCTAATGTACGCTCACCTTTTCATTTTGGAAACTTGAGACCCAGCTATTGGGGAGGATTTCCCCAGGAGATGAATTATCCACAGAGGTCTCCTCCTCTCCGCAACAGAGCAGAGGTCTCATTTATCAAACAGTGTGCAGCATCCATAAAGAAAATGTACGTACACACAAAAGCCAAAAATGGCATGCCCCAAAAAATATTCTACATTTTCTATAATCAGGCTTCCACCTCACCACCTGGGTCGCCAATTTCCTGTCTCCAAGATGTTCGTAAGTGTGGGTCAAAGTTTCTCCCATCAAGTTTGTTGTTATACATCACAACTTTTTGCATGGGAAGTGGCATACGCTTCTTTAAGGCCTCGGTTTGTGCGTACACAATGTTTATAAATGAGACCCCAGGTCGTTTAAACCAATAAAAATACTGAATAAAGCAGTTTCATGTTACAAATTAATGTTTTTCCTACGCTGCTCATTGCAGAGGGGCTTCGAATTATGGTGGCCTATGAGGAAACACAGAAACACTATGGCCCTTTCTAAAGCCAGTGTTTGCTTTGTCTGTCGTGGGCTACGTAGAAACATGGCTGCAAACATGGTGATTTCCATAAATGACAACCTGCTCCCTGTATAAATATAAACAGCTCATTCTAAGGTTACGAAAACACGATATTTCTTATTTTCAGATGTTTATACACTAAAGAAAATATACTTATTATATTCTATTTCTGCCCCCTAACTCCTCCACAGTGGACCTGTAATAACACAGAATGCACTGATTGACAGTGAATGGTTCAATTATGCATTCTCTCTTTCATTAACTTCCTGTATTCTTACATGGAGGTCAAAAACCCATTTTTTTGTGGCTTTGTGGCTCTGGCTTTGTGCATGAGGACATGTCTCACTGTAACACAATAAGGCCTGCAAACTGTTGCTACAAAAATATTTATGTGTGCTTCATTGTTAATATTTTCCTCAACTGAAACTAATAGGTCTGCCCAAACCATGAAAAACTGCTCCAGACAAGGGTATCCAAATACTTTTGTGTGCTCAGTTAAGCTTTATCAGCATCTCTGGATACATAGACTTTGAATATAGTGCACTCTAGTGGCAGGACGAAGCTATTTCAACCTCTAAATATATTGTCTCACACACACACACACACACACACACACACATTCTTCTTTACATGCGGGACACTATAAAACAATTGCAGCATATATGGAAAGTGCATTGTGGTCTCAGAGCATCAAATATCTTCTAAGTCACACACACACACACTCCCAGCCAGGGTGGAATTATAATACATCCAAAGTCATGAGCCTGAAACCAAACACAAGAGTGCAGACTGCAGATTTTAAAGTGCTGGTGGGAGGAGAGGATGAAGAGAGTGGAAGCTGTAATGCTGTGAGAGAGAGAGAGAGAGAGAGAGAGAGAGAGAGAGAGAGAGAGAGATGAAGTGAGAGAACGAAGGATAAAAGGAAGAGCTAGCCTGGGCCGACTCTCCCCTCTTCCCTCCACTACACGCTTTATCCATTACCGCTGAGAGAGACAGCCACTGAAAGTTTCTCAATCCTCTGAGACGGAAGAGGGTGGAGAGACTCTTGTTCTTTCTTTCCCTCTCTTTATCTATCACACACACACAGCTGATGTTGTGGTGGTGTTGCTGTTGAGGGAAGGAAAGAAAAAGCGTGGGAGGGTGCATCCCACAGCATCCCTGTGAGTGTGTGTGTGTGTGTGTGTGTGTGTGTGTGTGTGTGTGTGTGTGTGAGAGAGAGATAAAGAGGCTATGGCGGCACCCAAAAGACCACAAGAGAGACAGAAAGAAGAGATAAGTAGAAAGACATGGAGACAGGAAGAGAGAAAGGTAAGGAGACACTGCGGGTATGGGCGAGTGAAGTGAGGTCAAGCCTTTTTACACAGAGGCTATTTTAAACTCCATTTTCACCCAATCCCTTAACAGCTGATTACACATGTCAGGACCAGACAGCTACTTTAGACTGCAAACTTCCACCACTCTTCTCATTTGTAGGGTCAGTGTGTGACACATCTCCAAAGTAAATCTCCCAAAGTCTCTTAGCTCTTAGTGCTTGAACATTAAGCTTTCAGAAAAGACTTTCACTGGACTCCACAGATGCTGTGTGTATGTTAAGCGTATATATGCACACACGCAAATACATGCCTCATACATATTACATCCATGCGTGCATGTATATTACATCAGCACTAATGTTTCCAGATGTGTACAGGCTGTGAGTGAATGTTTGAAGAGATTGCTATGTGGGCTAATGGAAACCCTGAGGGGCCCATATCAATGAGGGCTTAGCTTGCCCCCCCCATTAGCAGCTATGCTAGCCTCAGCACACTGTCAGCTCAATAGTGAAAGGTTAAGACCATGGGACATTGCCAAATGACTGAGGGCCCCATAGGTCTTCAGTGTGGAACAGAAACATGGAGCAATGAGCATAATTATGGAGTTCTGAATGCAGTTTGCGCAAATATGCATGGAATAATAATGAGGCCGACTTCAATTCTCTGACAATTAGTGCAAAGTCCTGAATCAGCGAGAATGTGACACACATGCATTTTACAGGGTTTTATGTGTGGTGTATTTGCACACACTTACGTGCATGTGTGAAGCTTGATTTTTGTGTTTGTGTGTGTTCTTTGTGTGCATCTCAACAGGAGAAATATCATATTTGGAATAGCTAAAAAGTGGCATAAAATAACCAATTATGCCCAAAATGCAGCAAAAAAATAAATAAAAAAATTGTGATGTCAACTTACCTGTCGTGGTCTCGTCCAACGCCCCAGACACGGATGCTACTGATTGGCTGAGAGTGGAGCAGGCTGCGATCATCTGGGTCAACCAGGGTCAACATGCGGTCTTGGAGCACCAGCAGCATCCCTTTACCCTGTTATAAAACAAAATGAATGGTATGCCTTTATTGCTGTGGCACCTTGTACAACAAAATTTGCTGTGCAGCTCCTGAGACAGTAAATTAACATTTCACACATGCATGCACACTTGCCCAAACACCCAAACACATGCACGTGCACCTGCCATACAGTTAAATAATAATGATAAAAAATAAGCCATAAAAAAGTGGCATATCAGAGGCTAAAATCTGTTCATAGTGACAAATGCTATTTCATCTTAGATATTAATGATAGATATTAAGATATTAATGCATGTTATGTACAGTTTTTGCACAAGGTCACAAACAAAGATGCACTATAGCTGCGGTTCACAACCTGCAAGATGATTAAATCAAAGGTAACTAGATGTAGTTAGTACTTTCTTTTTCTGACTGTTCTCTAATCCTTTTTTTGTGACATAACTGATAGTTTGAACTCTTCAAGCCTCTAAAAACTACAGAAAATGTTAGAACTATGAGGGATGAGAATAACAAAAATTAATTGTTAAAATGGAGGCAATGAAAATGCACGTGACATGGGAATATAAAGGTGTAAAAACAGATGTGAAATGAAAAACAGAGTGATAAAATATTAAGTGCTTTGATTAATTTAAAGTCAAACTGATTAAAACAGTATATGATGAAAATAAGGCCATGTTTCATATTTTCCCCGTCTTATATTCATGATTCACAACATAAAAATGCCATTTATCATTTAAGCAAAATAACCTGAAGGGTGGGAGTACCAAAAAATGGAGGTAATAAAAATGTATGTGAACTAAACAGTGTTGCTCTAAAAATCAACTGGGCTGTGTCACTGTCTATTGTTGTTGGGGGAAATTTGCCAATTGGACTTTCTGCCAGAAAGGGACTTCCTGGATAAGGTCAGGAGCAAAATGCATGGTTTTGACTAATTGAAAAGATTTCTGCCAGAAAGGGCTTTCAGGCAGTTTAGGTTCCCTCTGTGTTGCCAGCACCTGGACCCCAGCATGAATGAGCAGGGAGCTCCAGGTACTGGCGACACAGAGGGAGGTTGAGTGTTGTTCATTTACATGTCCTGCCCATATTGTGTTTAAACCATTAGCAACAGTCCACTGACACACACGGACGTTTAAAACGAGAAGGCAAATCACTCTTCTTGCAGCTCACAGACCTGCAAACTGTGACGTGGTGTTGCACTTTGCTCACAAGTCAAAAAGTCAGGAACCACTCTACTTTAGTATCCATACTGTACATACTGTATGTAACTGACACACTGACCTCTCCCCACACACCAGCTGAGTCCCGTATGTCCCTCCTGCAGTAGGACAGCTGTCTGATACAGTGGTGGACGGCCACGCTGCTCCTCCCCTCACACAGGTCCTGCTCTGCCATCTCCACCCAGCCCAGAGATCGCACTGGAAATGACTGAAAGGAACACAACACACACATCACACACAACACGTCTTGTTTTAGTAGTTTTGCTCATTTTGTCAGTTACGATAATACTAAACTCATTAAAATAATTGGTGACATTAATAAGACAACACTGATTCAATTAAGTCTCACAGGGCAAGAAACAGAGTCAGATGATTAGACAGGTTTGTTTGAAGTCGGCAAAACGCTGGAATAATCCTTCACTGTGTGCACAGTTAAGACAAATTAGGGAGTCCAAAGATGAACCAAGATGTCACTCTGATAATAAACATTTTGGATAATAGTTTTACTTTTTCCTTTCATTATTCTCTTCCAAATACATTTGAATAACCTGTGGGTTTGTTTAAAACCCGTCTGATACTCTGACTAGTCATGCTTTTTGCCCTGCGTGACTTCTTTACAGCAATGTCACCACTGTCCCAGATCCCAGCAAACAACTTGGTAAGTATATTGTCACCATAACTGAAAGAAGTCATGGAAAATGTACAAATATAATCTACAAGTTGATGGAAAATTTAACCTTAGAGGTATATGACACAGGATTGTCTTTTACTGACTGTAAAAATGCTCAATGCTAACACCAAGTCCACTCTTGTTTGGAGTTTCGCCTCATTATAGTTGCGTTTTTTTCAGTGTTGTGTCTCTTCGATACCTGCTGCTTACAGTCTGGCACCTGGTTGCTACCTTTTTATAAAGCCCCGACCTCACCTGAGTGCTGTGGGGGTACACACTCATGAATGTCCCGAACACATAAAATAAGAAAATACAGGCAGAGAGCAGAGTTGCTGCAGAAGAATACGCCACACACTAAAAGCAGGTCGAAAGTGATGATTGATAAAGATTACCTCAGTATGAGTCTATTCATTGTGTTTTAGGAAAATTCTGCCAAGTATTCCTTTGAGTATAAGAGCCCACACATACTTGCATACTAACATACATCCACAGTAACTCATACAAAGTTCCCCCTACAGTATTTTGCTTACAGAGGTACAGTACTATGCAGTGACAGCTACTGTACCATCACAAGCAAGGCATCAGAGCAACAACTGAGAGAAGTTTGATTGGGGAAGACAACACATGAAATATGAAAGACTGTGTGTGTGTGTGTGTGTGTGTGTGTGTGTGTGTGTGTGTGTGTATTTATATGGACTGCATCAGGCCAGCAGCTATTACCATGCTCTCCTTTTTCCCCCTTTTCTTTCTGTCTCTCTACCAAAATGCTGAGGAGAACTACATTTCTCAAGTCCTGTAACAGTGTCAAGCAAACATGCACTTCAGCACACACACCCACGCATGCTCTCTCACACACACACACACAATGATCTCCCTCTCTCTTCCATGTACCATGTTATTCTCTCTTGCCTTCTTACTCATTAAACTTTCACACATCATGAGATCATAACTGAATTCCAACACTTCTCCCCTGAGCTTCTGGGTTCCTCTGAGATGTCTGAATATCTCAAGCTTTTCTTTCACTTGAATTTTAATTAGTAGAGCACATTATATTCTCGTCTGAAGTCCTTTGTGATTTCAGACTGTTCCTCACAGAAAAAGAACAAATCGTAACGGAACAAGAAAGCTTACATGGTACTTTTGGTTTTGGAATCTGATATGTGATGCAACATTTGCCTTTATTTTATGACTTCTTATTGCACAAAAATGAGCAGGCAACATTTAACTTTTTAATATTGGGTTGATTAAATATGTCTTTTGCAACAGTGGTGAAATTTGTTTCGGATCAAAGATGCTTCTGTGCAGAAGCAAAAACTCGTTTGGCTTTACAGTCACTGTAGCTCAGTTCACAAAGTAACCACTGAGAGGCACTGCAACAAACAGAGAGAGAGGACAGTGTGACACTGAGCAGGTTCATTACGTCATTCCAGACAAAACCTGGTGACCTCCCCTCATTAACAAATACTGTGCATGACTTGCTGAAAGGCTGACATTTTGTTTAACAAATACGATCAGACTGGCTTAATAACAAAGGAATGTGTGCTCATCATGTTGCCAGCAGTCATTTATAGGTGGTATGCTGTGTCGCTGAGCACTAGTAGTATCTGAACAGTCTGGAGTTCCACCCAAATGGGGCTGAAAGTCAATGAGAGCTTCAGTGAACTAGCTGATAACCTACCACTGCTAATTTTGACAGATATTTTAGGTCTATTTTTTTGTCTTTAGGTGAAAGTGCATATTAGTTTTAGTCACATCTTAGTCATTTTTAACCTTTGTAATTTTAGTCTAGTTTTAGTCGACAAAAATTCATGATATTTTAATCAGCTTTTAGTCACTATGTTTTCTGTATGTTTTTATTTTTATTTTTAAACTAATCCAGTGAGGCTATTTCATGTATCAAAAATTAGAATCAAGGTGACAGGATGTATAAAAATTTTATTTGGAATTTTTTTCTACAACTACAATAATTTCTACACACAAGAAACTGTCATTTCTCCAGCGGTTTTTGACAGGTTTAAGTGCTGATTTACGAGCTGCCACTAACTGATCATAACTTGAAAAGCTCAACATTTCTCTATTTATGCTCTCAAAAACTTTGACACCACAACTAACTAATCTGAGACAACTAGGATTAATTGTAAACTTGATTGTAAGAGGCAGAAAAATAACTTAATTAAAGCCAAATCTCAAATATGTTAGTCTGGATATTTAAACTCATGTCTCACAGAGCTGGTGATTAAAACTAAACTTCAGAGAAAATTCCACGGAGTTCAGACTCTTTACTTACAGCACAGCTACACTCACAGATAATTGAGCCTCCGACCTGCCTGTCCAACAGCATCAAACCATAAACTTTGCGAGACAGTCCGGACTTAGGTGCAGTCTTGCGGGAATCAACCGATGTGAAGTCCGGAGGCTGGTGGCTGCTTGCTCCGCTGCCGTTCAGCAGCTAACAAGTGGAGCTGCTAACAGCCATTGCTGCAACTAAAAAAACTACAAATCCATTCAGCAACTCTACCATCCACAGTCAGACACACACAGCTGATTATTTACTGCTGAATTACAGCTCCCAACTCGCACCAACGGCTGACGCTGCTCCGGTTTGAGTGTTTTTGCCGGCAAGTGAAACATCCTGGCACAGACTATTTACTGGAGTTTGCCAGCCTGTCGCTCATGCAGCACTTGAAGATAATTACAAGCACGGGCGTTCTCGGCTTTCAGTGTACAAGAGTCCACCATGAACATTTTCATCATGTGTCGTCTCGTCAGCGAAAATGAAACATAGATTTCATCTTAGTTTTTATTATCGAGATCTGTTTAGCTTGTCATCGTCTTGTTTTCGTTATGGTAAAAGGCCGTTGAAACATTTCCATCATCGTTTTTGTTAATGAAATTAACACAGTTACCTACCACACAGGCTTGTAACTTTTTAAGTGATAATATTTGAAGTTTGTGGCTTCTGCTTGTAGCCGTAACTGCCTTCAACTTTGTCCCGACTGGTCACCGCAAAAATTGTGTGTATATTAGCAAAACAATGTCAAAGGGCGTCCGCCTGCTTCAGCATTGCATATAAATCTGCAAACTGAGACATAGTAGAGCTATGAGTGTTGAATGTTTATGATTGTGCTTTCTATAAGGATGGGCAGTGTTTAAAAACTTATGATACCAGTACCCCTAGATGAAACAGACACCAATAAAGTACTTCATGTGATACCTTTGTTTTCCTCACTGCATGTGATACAAGTCATATAAACTGAAGCTTTCCGCTGCATAAAATACCACCAGACTATCTGTGTGTGTTTGTGTGTGAGTGAGAGAGAGAGAGAGAGAGAGAGAGAGAGAGAGAGAGAGAGAGAGAGAGAGCATGTGTGTCAGTAAATGCAAGTGTCAGTTATAGGCTGATGTGTCTGGGACATTCTGGCACGCTGGACTGCCGTCAAACACACCGCCCTCGACTTCACAACACCACAAACTGTACTTACAAATACTCATTTTTTTCCCAGATCAGAGTACACAAAGGATCAGATGGATAGTTGTTGTTGCTGTGGGTTATACAGTTGATACCTTAAAGGCACTGTGTACCAATACTCAACTTTCATGCCTGTCCTTGACTACAGCAATATTCTGTATTGTCATGCTGCCCCATCAGCACTTAAGCAATTAAACTCTGTGTATCATAGTGCTCTATGCTTTATAACAAACAACAAACTTTGCACTCATCATTGTTCCCTGTATCACACGGTTAGATGGGCTGCCTTACAGTCAAGAAGAACTAGCCACCTGATATCATTTATTCATAAAGCTCTGCTGTTGTCTTCTGTCATTTAAATCTACTAACTACAGCACACGTTACAGTACCTGCTGAACCTTACATATCTCTCATGTACACACTAATGTTGGCAGTCCTGGTATCAGGTACTGTGCACAGTTTAAATGAAAGTAACTGCAAACTGTTCTCAAACTAGTCTAACAAAGCCTTTGGAGATTTTAAAGCTTTATTATCTAATGTTTTTATGATTATTGTGACTCTTTTAATTCCTTGTTTATTGTGGCGTTGTGTTGTTCCTGTGTTGTTTTTGCTTGCTGATTGTGTTCTTGAGAATGTTTCTTGTTCTCAGGTCTCTCTTGTAAAAGAGATTTTAATCTCAACAAGACTGCCTGAGTAAATAATGATAACATAAGACAAAATAAAAAAAAATCCTGACTGTTGTTGATATATGTTATATTTCTGATCTTACCATTGCCTCTGGATCAGAGAAGGTGTTGTTGAGGTCCACTGTCTCCAGCTGGGCAGGGGCGCTACAGGGAAACATCAGTCATTAACAATCAGTCACATTTAAGTCATATTTCCCAACTAACCCATGAAAATACATAAATCTATAAATTATACATATTAATTTACTATAGAGTATGTGTTTGTGTATTACTTGAGTTTAAGTGAAGCATAGCGCAGGGTAGCCCCTTCAAACGCCTTCAGACTGGGATCTGGATACACTGGATAGTCCTTCAGCTCCTGGAGCAAAACAGACATTCAGAAAAGAGGAGCTGCATTAGCTGCAGACGCTGGTGACGAGATGAAGAAGATTAAAAACAGGCAGATTCTAATATTGATTTCTCCGACTTATTTGATCTCATTTGCTTTTGTAATAACTGAAGAGGATAACACTCCTTTTAAGTTAATATGAGAGATATTCATCTTTGTTGAATATGCACCTCAGCCTGACCTGGACTGACATTACTGTGTGCTCATTTCAATCTAATAAATGCAGCAGTGAAAGCAGAGATATATCAATAACACTGCCACGCTTTTAGACAAAAAGTCACTGCGATGAACCACAGCTAATAAAAAGAAGCTAGATGTGGAGCACACAAGGAAAATGTCATCCTCTGAAAGAATATGAATCTTAATTTTTTCAATAGTGATTGGACAAACATGGAGAAGTTGTTGGTTTGGGTTAAAAGGATAAAATAAAATGTGCTTTACTTTAAATTTAAAAGCACATTTGCAACAGTCCCATTTAGACCAAAATTAATCAAGAAAATAAAGAATAAATAAAATGGATCTGAACTTTAACAGATAGAGTGTTTCAACAAGTAAACACCTGAATAAATGTGACTGTGACTCACGTTGGCTGTGCAGGTGGTGGTGTTGAGATTTGGTCCAGAAGAGGTGACATCATTGTAGGGGGTGGAGGAGGAGGACGAGGAGGGGGAGGGGGAGGGGGAGGGGGAGGAGCCAGAGGGGGAGGGGACCGGCTCCACCGAGCTGTCAGATATCAGACTGCTGGGGCGCTGTGGGAGAGACGGAGAGAGATGCAGCATGAGAGAAACACAGAGGCAGACAGAGAGTGGTGGGCGCATCAATTATCACCAGGAGCTTTCCAATATATTGGGCTTAGATCGTGTTTTTGCCAGTAATAGTGTCAGCCTATGAAAGAATGGAGATTCCTCTCTGACCACAGCTTCACAGGAAACAGTTCAACCTGTGGTTACTTTAGTTCTTTGCATGTCACTATTTCAATTATTGAGATAATGTTTTTGAAAATTTTATATGATTGACAAATTGTATAGATGTTTGACTAAATGATCCACTGCTAGCTTCATCAGAGTTTCCAATCACATCTCACTCTTCATCAGCAGATTGAGTTTGTTTGTTTTCATTCAAGATACATGAAAATGGCTCACTGAGACTGTTAGATGTGGTTAAAACTACTGCAGTTAAAAAACTTGCAAGTGGACCTTTAGTTTCAGATTGTTTTCTCCAACTATGTTTAAGATTAACTTGTTAATTTATAAATGTCTGTTTCTGTACATTAGTATGTTTTCTTGCTGCTTCCACCAATGTATTTCCCTGGGTCCAGACCTTGGAATCCGCCCACACCACTGAGTTGACAGATTCGTCTGGCATCATGATATGAAACAGCGGTTTCTTGGCTGAAAAACAATCGATCCAATCAGCGCCACAAGAGGGACTAACACTATTGTCATGCTGTTGACAAGCTGGGCGACAGAACCATGGTGGAGTAAGAAAATCAATAGCGACCACTAAAGAAGATAGACACCTGCACATGTACAGTCAAGTAAATGAAAGTGTCATAAAGTGTCTGACCATGAGGTGTGTGAGGTCTGTGGGTCCTCTCACCTCATTGGGTGGCTTGAGGGAGTCCTGTGTTTCCTGTTTTGAGTCGTGCTCAGTGTCTGGCTCATTGTTAGGAGAGGTGTGCTGGTTGCCGGAGGCAACAGGTCGGTGGTACTGTGTGGTGCCAGTGGGGATGTGCCAGAAATAGATCTCTGATGAGTCTGAGATTTCCCGCCAGCCAGGGGGCAGGTCCCCCTCACCCCATACATCTGCTGCTGGATGACAGTGATACACAAACACATATTGCATATGAGTGTCACACAAACACATTTATATGACTGCACACGTGACACATACAAAAGTACAAAAGGCTGCAAACACACACACACACACACACACACACACACACAGGGATGGACAGGGTAAATTTCAGTGATGGTCAGCCTGTCCCTTCTTAGTTTCTGTTGTCATAGCAACTCCGGGGCTCATCCCCTGTAGTTGGACCCAGTGGGCAACAGCATCTCTCCCTTCATCGCTCTCCTGGTTTTCTTTTCCACCGTCTGCCTTCTTATATTTCTCTCTCTCATATTCTCCATCTATTGCTTTGTCATGCATACTTGGCAATCATCACTGAGTAGATCCAGCCCTGCCTTATTCTCTTCCCTTTTCTCCTTCCCTTTTCACACCCTTCTATCTGCAGTATCCTATCTCTCTGTCCATCCTAATCGCTCTCTGCGCCATAAGGTGGCTCACAGGGGCCTTAAAGGTTCCAGCTTTATTGCTGGAGTTACTTGCTTGGCTAAGAATAGGCTTTTGGTAAATTTCCAGATCAGACAGTCTGTAGGAGGTAGAAGGAGGGAAGAGAGACAGAGAGGGAATGAAAGGAGGGTGTAACAGAGACATGATTAAAGGCTGATACAGATATGCCGATAAAAAAAAAAGGAAGATCAGATGAGAAGACAAAACACACACATCTAACCTGTCTCCCGTGGAGTCTGAGGAGAGGGTGTCTCTTGGGAAAGGGTAGTCCAGCTGGAGTCTTCATCCTCTGATGGAGTATCAGGAGTCAGATCCATTCTTAAGCCCACTTTAGGGAGTCCAGTCTCTGGTTCAGGATCTGGCAGGGTAGGGGGGGCCCGGTTCCTGGTGGGGGTGCTCTTCTCTGCAGCCCGAGTCTGTTTAGGGGACTAAGGCGGATACTGTTGCAGGAACTGGTTCTCATTGTTGGGGTGCAGCTCCACCTTGATCACTCGGGGCTGGGAGCTCCGTGGGGGCTTTGCAGGACTGCGTGGACTAGTCTGAACCGGGTCACAGAGCTCCTCCCTGACCTGAGCTGGAGCCTGGCTCTGGAGGTGGTTTTGGTTGTCTGTAACCCACTCTGGGCTGTTGGAGGACGAGGACGTGGGTGAAAGCGGGGCTTCCACCACCACTGGTAGCAGGGGCTGCCTTGGTGTAGGTGTGGGATCATCTTCCTCTTTCTCCTCCTCCACCACTGGTGCCACCTCTTCCTTCTCTTCCTGGCAGCTCTGCTTGCTGCTGGACTTCTCCTCCTTCTGGCTCTCCCTCTCCTTAACAGGGCTGGCCTGCTCCTTCTCTGGGGAAGGCTGCTGCTTCTTTTCCTCCTTTTCCTCTTTGTTTCCCCAGTTGAGATCCAGGTCCCAGCCTTTCCCATGGTACTCCAAGAAGCTCTTGGTCCGTCTGCGGAACGGCGGTAGCTGTGAGTTGTCTTTTCCAAATTCCAGCCAGTCAGAAGTGGGGTTATTGATGAGATCATTGTGAATTTTGCCCTCTGTATTGGCCCTGCTCAGCTCCAGCTGCTGACTCTCAGCTCTTCTCTGCATGTTGGCCCCATTCTTGGCCAGTTTGGGGTTGGTTGTATTAAACAGCGAGGCGGAGGATGAAGAGGAGTAGAGGGCAGAACTGGAGGAGGACTTGGTGGGGAGGCCCCTCCCTCTAGTTACAGGTTGGTTTTTAGAGGACAAAGCCAAGTTGTCACTGATTCCCATGGCGCTCCGCACGCTGGTCATCGCGTACCTCTGACGGCTCTTTGGCAAGGTGGCCGAACTTCCGGTTTCCATGGACTCCTTGATGACGTCTCGACCAAGCAGCTGGTTGTATGATGTGCGAAGGCCGAGGGAGGTGGGAGGGGCAGTGGAGGGGCCGCTGCGACTTGCCAGACCCACATTAGAAGGGGAGGAGCCAGAGCGGGAGAGAGGAGGAGTTTGTACTGACATCATGGCTGACTGGAAATACACTTCCGGGATAACACTGATGAGAGAAGAGACACACTGTCAAAACTCATTTAACAGTGTGTGCAACACAATATGGACCAACTGGTACTGGGATTATAAGGTGGATGACATTAGGGATTTTAAAAAATCTGCTAATACATGAGTAAACTATCATATAGCATTATTCTTTAAAGGTATACTATGCAGGAATTGTTGGTTAGCTACCTTGTGTGACCAGTACAGCCAATGAAAGTACAAGTGAAAGCCAATCCCAGATCCACTCTCGTTTTGGAACAAGCTTTGCCAACTTCCTGTTTCGCCTTTTTGGTGCTGTGTCCGTGATTTTTGTAGCTTCCTCTTGGGTGCGCGCTTCTTATGAATTGGCACCTGGTCATTACCTTTTTATAAGGTCCTGACCTCACCTGCATGTTGTGCTGAGGAACATCTCAAACTAATTATTATGGCATTGACATCCCTTTGCACTTATTTTTTGGTAAACAAATGTTTGTTTTATAGACATGTCTCATAGTTGCTCTAGCACGAATTAAGGTTGATTGCCATCATGTCCCTTCAGTCTTTCCCAGTTGATGTAGATGTATCACTCAACACATTGGGCACATATTGCTTATCCAGACATTTATATTTGATGAAATCACCAGACATCGTTAGGCTAAGTGTTGTCTATAAATAACCAACCTGTTAATATAAAACTGTTTGATCAAGTTTAAGATTTAGTTGAAGACAACAGTCTTGCCGCTGTATTTACTGTATGACTATAACATTAATGCAGCAGCCTCCCGCTCAAGCTAACGTTAGCTATAGCAACTGTCACCAGCATCATTTACCACACTGACAGTGAATATTCATTCACTAATATTAGGTGCCTCAAATCTCAGTGTGAAAACATTGGCTTGCCCACTTCACAACAGCTTTTCTCTTTTTTTTAGTGACACATCGCTGGACCTTGACATTGGCAGTAACTTATAGGCTAACTAATGCTAACGGCGCCACAAATGGAGGAAGAAAAAAAATCAAAATGTTTATCTTTTACTTTTTTTTTTTTACTAATACTATTAGTACTATTATTGTGAAATATTACATAGGCCACAACAAAATAACCACATAGCAAAGCCTACTAAATAATAGCCCTTTTATCTGGGTTCCTGCCCCCTTCCCCAGCTCCACATTACCTGCTCTCTGGGGGAGACTGACGGTTATCCGACATCACATGAACCCCGAAATATGCTGTATTGTTGTCACATCAAAACAACAAAAGCTCTCTGGTGCCCTCTAAACTACCACTACACTACTGAGAGGAGTATATGTGCAGAGAGAGAACATTAAAATAAAACAAAACCATGTATATATCAGCAGGAAGAGCGTTCATTAAGTTAGCTGTTAGCAGTTAGCTGTAGCCGTTGGTCGTAACCAACAGCTCACGGAGGCTGCCTTGATTTACATTGTGAGGCGTTCCAGCTCTTCAGTAAAAATGAGTATTGGGCTAAGGTAAATTCTAACGTTCTTATGAGGTGTTCAAGGTAATCTTGTGAAATGTAGCTTTTGGCGAGAAACTTGATTAAGTTGTTTGAAGGAGAAATTTGTAAATGTTTCCACAGCACTATAAAACAGATATTAGAAATGAATGATGTTTCATATAGTAAATAGTAAATAGGCTTTTAATTATTTTTTTAAAGATGTTTTTTCACGTGAAAGAAGGTTATGTTAAAGGTTTTTCGTAAATGTGTATTACTGAATTTGTGCTCATTAAAGGTACTGTAATCTGATGCATAAGAAGAAAATCAGAAAAAACAGGCAGAGGGCAGTTTCTCTGTGGAAAAATACACCACCAAACGCTTTTTGTGTGTCATAAGTGATGATTGAGAGGAATTTGTATGAGTCTTTACATTGTTTTTCTTTTCAGGACAATCCTGCATAGTTCACCTTTAAACTTTACATTTTTGATAAGGATCCCTCAAGCTGGATTTAACATTTTTCCATTTTTCTCCATTCGATTTTTGAAGACAGAAAGATAAGTAGGAAAGTGTTTCTCACTTTCCATTTTCCCTGAGTCAGTCAGAGTACAGTAACACTCCTCCTGTGGTTGCAAGCTTCTTTTATGCCTACTTATCTTTATGGCTGGTAAATGGATGGTCGCTGAGTTAGTATATTTAAAAGCTTTGTTTCTCCAGCCTCTTTGCATATATCCTGTACTATACTAATATATGTGTTGTTAAATCATTTCCAGTATTCTATCTGTGCTTGTCTCTGACATCATCACAGATAGGTGACATCATACAGTTGAGATGTTCAGTGCTGTGTAACTCATTAGCATTTCTCTGATGTTACCACTGAGCATAAAGCTGATAAAAAGCATTTTGCTCTTTGCTTTCTCTGGCTGCAGCTCAGCCGGTTTCTCAGAGCCTTTTATTGATACATAACGGTACAGATTCTTCTCCAGCCCCATGCTGCCTTTTTACACATAAGGTGTCACTGTTAAAGTGTTAAAAACTGCATCAAAGACATGGACCTGGACTGTATTCTCATGTTATCGGAAGTGAGTCAGACCCTCGAAAGCCGGGGCTGAGCAGTAAGCCAGTCTGTGGGGAGGAGAAGTGGCAGCCAGCTCCTGCTAACAAGCTAGCAGTGTCTCTTTTATCTCTGGGTGGATCAGCCCTGTGATGCAGAATACAGACAGATGGATGGATGGCAACAAAGACAGAGAATCACTGTGACCTTAAGACACGGCACATGTACAGGTTGCATCACTGTTGCCTCTGTTTTTGAATTATCTAATGTGTCTACAACCCTGTGGGAAGCTGGTACTAAACAACTGAACACTTCGACAGGTAGAAAAACATGCCCAGGCACGCAAGCATAATGTATAAACATCCTGTCACCCAATCATCAACACACACACACACATACACACACCTCAAACAGTGCTGCAGTCATCATCAGCCTTTTCTCAGAAACATGGAAAATACAAACGCAGCAGATTTTAAAGCACGACAAGATCTTGGGAAAAGACAGAGGCAGGATTTTTGGAGCAGGCAGAATCCCTGGCTGGTGCACTTTGTTCATGCGGGGCCCCTATCCGCTGCCCTCTCTCTGGGTGGTTGTCGTGTTGTCCATCTGTCACTGAGCCAGACAACGACAACAACCTGTTTGTGCTGAATCTGCATGTGCTCACACTCTAGGCCTGCGACTAGACACAAACACAGTGTCAACAGGTACGAACTACCTGCACTGAGCTGAGCAGCTTATGAAAACTTCTTCAAAATGAGGTGTCAAAAATGCATTGATACCAGGCTAACAGCCTCAGACGCCTGGAGATGCAAGCTTTCCACCAGACACCTACAAACTGTGCCTTGAGCCACTGAAGCCGAAAATCACAGCAAATATGTTGCATGACTCAGAGGACGAATTACACATCCTGACACAACCCCCCCCCCCAGAAACACAGACAAGAAGTAATAAGCAAACAGCATTTCAACTCCCTATTGTCCCTTTCTTCTATTCTTTTTTAAATATCCCTATGTCTGAGTCGCAAACAAACTGGATCATCCTTTTCTTTCCTGTCTCCCCTGACAATGCAGCCAGATCTCCATTAGTTAAACAAAGTGGGGCGAAGAGAGGATGTGAGGGGGGAGCGGGGAGGAGAGAGGATGGTTATTAGAGAGGGAGAAAGCAAGGAGAATGACACAGCAGTTTGCAGGACAGCGGGGCGCAGTCAACACACAGAGGTAGTTTAACTGTTGTCTTCAATAAATCTGTTGTGCTCGCCAACAGCCGTGGTCATTCATGAGATGCACGAGATTTCAGCAGCTGGTCACAGGACAACAGCAAACTGCATATACTAATAAAACAATAGTGACTATCATCTTCCTTGTGCTTGTATTATAGTAAAACGTACAGTAATATATGAAAGAAAACAAACAGATATCATATAAATCATGTCCGTTCCTACAGATTTACCAGAATTATAGCAATAAAACTTGTTGACAGACAAAATACAAGGTCCTCTCTATTTTTGGAGCAAGGTGGCCTAACAGGATCCTTATCAGCTCTGGTTGTTTACACTATCTGCTCACCTTGCATGCAGATTTACAGACGAGAGTGTATTCACCTGAAGGTCACCCTAAAAACAAAGATGAGATTGGTATCATTTTGTATCAGTAAGATATTTTAGAGATCCATCATCAGATCATATGGAGATATAGACATAGATCCTGGCCTGTCAGGGGGAATCCATCCTTCATCAACTTACTCCCTGTAATGGCAGGCCTCTTTCCTCAACTCTGAACTGCACCCACTGCTTCACAAATGAAATGCAACAGATGAAAGCAGAGGCTGGGGTTGAAATGAACTTGAAAAAGTCGATGATGTCATGGGTGGAGTGCTCTCGCTGCCTGCTCAATAAAGTCGCTCACTGAGGTATCAGAAACTGCGTTAGACCGTCTTTAAATGCACCGTAACGCCGAGGATGCATAGGTGGAGTTGCCATTATCGCGGAAGCAAAGCTGTCGTGAACAGACGCAGTAAATCTCCAGCATCCAGCCCCTCTGTCTCTAGCCCCATCACCACCGCCGCACTGGGAGGGGAGCGCATCCCATCGAGAGCATCTATTTACATCTACTCACCGCTTTGGTCAGCCTCCGGGCTTCTGCGCCTCCACTCCCACGACGACACACACAAACACACAGACACGCAGTAGTGAGCAGGGCCGAGGTCGACAGCCGCTTTTAAGTGCCAGTCCGCCCGTAGCTGCAGCCGGCCGCCCGTATTGGATCACATCACATAATCTGCCCTCCCAGCCCGGCTCGGTGCTCGCTGGCGGGCAAGCTGCGCTTTCTCTCTGCGCCAGAGGATCCCGGAGCGGCGTGGCGCGGCGCTGTGGAGCCCTCAGCCAAGCCGGCCTATCACGATCGAGGACGCAACACGCTCGGCGCACGGAGAAGACGCAACCATAATAAATCTGCCGGTGTTATTTTGCATCTCAGGTAATGAAATCACACATCATCGGGGTCTTACGTCATGCAGTTGTCTGAAGAAATATGAATGGTATATGTGGTACACCAGTGATCACATCTGCCCCTGAAACACAGTTCGAGTTCCCCTCACATAAACAGTGTATCAAACTCAAAGTGGTCCTAAAATGTATGATGTCACCATGAAGTTATTTCCATACAGAAGGCAAGTCCAGATTACAATTCAGATGAGTTAAAACTGAAGTTATTGTAAACAATACTCTCTGCTCCTTGGAATAGGGGAGACCAGGGACAGGTGTAACACTTTTGCTACTTCCCCAGCAAAAAAAAATACATGTTCACTGGAATAACCAATAAACAATGTCAATGTGAGCAGCATGGTGGTGCAGTGGTTGGCACTGTTGCCTCACAGAAGGAGGGTTCCAGGTTCAAATCCACCAGCTGTGTGTGGAGCTTGCATGTTCTTCCCGTGTCAGTGTGGGTGTAGTCTGGCTTCCTCCCACAATCCAAAGACATGCACTTCAGGTTAACTGGTGACTCTACAGTGCCCATAGGTGTTAATGTGACCACGAATGGTTGTCTGTGTCTATGTGTCAGTCTAATAAATGTCAATATTATCAACTAGTGAAACTGTATATAGGTGGTTTTATGAATTAATTTGTCTACAGATAACACCTGTCAGTGGTTTTAATGTTTTGGCTGATCGGTGTTTATCCATTGTTGTATTTAAGGGCATCATAAAGAATGTGGTGACAGAGACGTGCTTGTTTTTCTTAAGAGGCCAATATGTTTGAATTGTTGTTGTTTTATCTTGGATTTTTGTACTATATGTTCAATTTGTTGCATTTTAAATGTGTTTTGATTGGCTGCTACCTCGGCCAGGTCTCTCTTGTGAAAGAGATTTTCAACCTCAATGGGACTTCCTGGTTAAAAGATAGTTAAATAAATTTAAAAAAAAAAAGATTTAAATACAGTCACTTGTTCAAAAATATACATAATTAAACAAGCAAATACTCAAAAAGATGAATCATTCCTGTTATTGTGACTATTTCTTTCTTTTTTTAAAATAATGATTTTTTTCCACACATGACAAAAAAGAGGGGATTTTTTTTCATGATTTTACTGAGCTTGTGCGTATAACAGTACAACATCGTTCTCATAGTGCATCATAATTCCCTTTGGTATGTTTATAGTTCACAGGTTGAACTATCACAAGGCATTTCTTCTTACTCCTCTCAAGTCTTTCTTTTACATACAGTAATGCTATTACTTAAAGTTAAAATATGACACTATTTAAAGGACTTTGTCAGTTTCAGAAGTGTGATCCCAGTAATACAATTTTCATACACAAATATAACAAACCTTTTTTATGTGATTAATCCAACATTAGCAGGGAGAGAAACAGCTGAGATTCTCAACCCATCCAAAGGCATCCGGATCACATTTTGTTACTGACAGGAGAACATCTTTCACAGAAAACACTGTACTGAATAGAGACAGTAGTAGAAAAGCTTCCATATCTCATTCTATAATACTGTAAGACCTTGAGTCCAACAGCTCTTTCAGACTTATAAAAAAAATCATTCAAAATCATATTTAAATGTCCAAACACGCACACATAGTTGGCAAAGTATAAAATCTACTCTAGTCCAGACTTCACAATATGTACATACCTTACACACTTTTGACCTCTCTTCTCACATTCACGCTTTGAAATACATTCCTCAGTTTGACCTGTGCTGGCTCAGGATATCCTATATACCTATCCCTACAGTCCACTGGCAGGTTCCTCCCTCAGTGCTGCAGGGATAGAGGTGAAGAGGCGTGGTGGACAGCGCTGGCGGGACACACAGGCTCCCGGTGCTCCAGGAGTGAGGCAGGAGGGGAAGCGGGACGGGGCGACTGGTGGAGGGAGGGACATGACTGGCCAGAGAGGAGAGCGGCTGCTGGAGCCGCCGGTCGACTACGGAGAAACATGGAGCTGAACGGATGGAGCGCAGCAGCGTATCTTCTGGCGGAGAGGAGAGGAACACAGAAGAGAAATCAATTGCTCATTCTCACAGCTATTATCACAGCTGTCTTGGCTCATTAGAAGCTTGTCACATGCAGTGCAATCACTGACAAATGCATGAAACGCAATGACTAATACAAATGTGATATTTGCCATGTGAGCTTAGTTACCCTTACTGAATGTATCATTGGGAGACTGCAGTAAACTCTTGGCCTGCTTGTTGCCTGCTTGAGCGGCTCGTTTGTAGTATTCAATGGCTGTCCTCAGATTCTGCTGCACCCCAAAGCCGCTCTCGAAACACTGACCCAGGAAGAGCAGGGCAGTGTCGTCCTGCATGAACAAAAATGAGTATGTGATTTTGGCTATTTGATCTTCAAGAACAATCTTCTGTACAAGAACAAGTCGGGCAGAGAACTTAATGTTACAAACTGACACCAGGAACTTAAACAGACATTATGGGCAGAGGACTGAAGATGCCACTATCAAAACAAGCACAACTGCTCTGTGTGACTCAACACTGAGACATTCAGCAGGCTGTAGCTCTAAAGTGATTTGTAGTGATAGTAACTGATGGTATTACTTCAACACAACTGCAGCAGAAAGTTACAAAAATGTATAAGTAAGGATGCTTTACAAATACACTGTGAGAGTCAAAAAGCAGGGGATGGGGGATACTCTGTTTCCTAATACAGGGCAGTGGAGAGGCGGTGAAATCTCAGGGATAAAGCCACATATAAAACTCTAGAAGCATCTAGAAGGGCACTCACTCCGCTCTCTGCTGCCATCTTCAGGTACTGCACAGATCTGCTCCCATCTCTCACCGGCTCCTGAGTGTAAACCGAGGCGAGGCAGACCTGCGCCTGAAGAGGGAGAGAAACAGAGAGCTGGTTCACTTCTGTAAAGATACACCAGCATCAAGTGATAAGCACGCACACAGGAACCCAGCACAGCAGAAGGAAATGAGATGAATGGCTCCATGTTCAAATCAAATCTACTGGATTCATTGACTCCCACTAAATCACAAAGAGCAACAGAACTGAAACGACTGCTCGATTAATCAAGTAGTCAATTGACTGATTAAGAAATCCAGGGATCCCTATTGCAAATGTTGTGGGAGAGAGTTCCAGAGGCGGGGGGCAGAGTGGCTGAAGGCTCCAGAACCCATGGTAGACAAGTGAGCAGATGGTGATGTGAGTTGGAGTGCAGATGAAGATCTAAGAGTATGGGTGGGTCCAGTGTTTCCCACACATTCATTCATTTGTGGCGTCCGCCATGATCAAAAAATCTGCTGCCACAAATAGATTTTCTACTTATGGAGCTGGACCGTTCATTAGGAGCGCTACCGGAATATATATACATTGAGTTATTTATAGCACCACACTGATGGAGCGCAGAGTGCACTTGGGGCAGAGACAGAGCAGCAAAGTGAAACTTAACCGTTCATTCTGCTGGGTCTTAAAGTTTGCATTTACTTGCAGCACTGTGCTTCGAATGGTTTGACAGATCAATTACCCACCCTGCAAGTCACAAACTGCTGCTAAGGAAAGAAAAGACCTCATGGACAGCTCCGCCTGAGCTGCGTTCACAGACCCACAAAATCCTATGAATTTAGAAAGGGGACACTGAATGATACAGAGGGACACACAGGTATTTACATTTTTAAAAAAAGAAAGTTTGCTGTCGGGGTGTGTAGATATGAAGAAGCTCAGAAAGATACAAAGGGGCTCAGTACTGAAGGGCCTTGAAGGTGAGAAGCACAATCTTGAAACTGATGAGATATTTAACAGGAAGCCAGTGAAGTTTCTGAAGAACAGTGGTAAACTCTATGGAGGGAGTTCTACTAATGATGCGGGCAGCTGACTTCTGTACCAATTGCAGTTCATGCTGACACTTAAGATCAATATGGGATGTAACCAAAGCGTGAACGAGAATAGCGGTGCTGTATTGTGTTAGAGACAGGCAAAGATGATTAATGTTACGTAGATGAAAATCTGCTTTTACCTAAATTGAAGAGAACTCTTGATGAGCCAACATTTATTTTATTATTTAAACCTGTGTCTTTCCTACTGTGACATGTTAAAATGTCTTCTGTGGAAGTTTTGTATAAAGATAGATGTTAAAAATGGGTAAATGGCTAAAATGAAGTACAGTATATCTCATAACATGGTAAAAGCAATGTGGAAAAGCACTGTTAGAAAAGTATTATTATTTAGTAAGTATTGCAATATTTAATGTACTTGCACTTGAGGTGCAAAGGTATTCTGTGAAAGAATTAAGAGGAGCTGATAAGTTTTTGTCATGATTTTCACCTTGGTGAGTCCAGCTGCAGCAGCCTCTTCCAGTAAACTGATGGCTGTGTTTAGCTCCTCTAAACTCTGGTGCCCCCTGCTGGTCAGGAGCAGCTTTGCATAGCGGTACTGAGCCTGTCTGTGACCCCCAGCTGCTGCCTGCCAGTAGTAATATAGAGCCTTGGAAAAATAAAAACACACAAGAATCATCTCAAGGCTGATTTCTGACACAGGAGAAGAGTAAACATTTTCAGAATGATGAAGCACTCAGGAAAATGTAAAATGTAAAGTTTGAATCCTCACCTTCTCTTTGTCCATGCTGACTCCTCTGCCTTTCTCATAGCACACACCGGTGTTGAACTGGGCCTTGCTGTAACCCTGCTTAGCTGCAGCAAGGAAGCATGTAAAAGCTTCCTCGTAGTTCTCACTCTTGGCACTTTCGAGACCTGCAGCAAAGAGAGATGAAGATATAAGCTATGGGAAGAGGAAAACAAATATGGTTCATTATGCAAAAAACCCTTTAAGATTATAAAAAGTAGAACATTTAGTTAGTGTAAAATGGACTGCCTTGAGCAGGAATGAATGTGTGAAAATGATTTGGCGTGTAACTGTGTCAATAAATTGTTACCAATGATGTTGAGGACAACAGGAATACTGGTTTCTCCCACATGTCTGAGATTCAGTGCTGCTCCTGCCAGCCTCTCCTCATCTGACAACAAGTCCTGAAAACACAGAAGAGGATAAAAAACAAAACAAAATTTAATGCCAAGTCACTCAGTCATTTGTAAGGATAAAGAAAATGAGTACTGCTGAAGACTTTCACCTTGTCTCTAGCATCTTTTGTCTGTGTGTTGCCTCGGTCGGCATCATTCTGCAGAGGACAGGACGCTGACAGAAGTGGTTCCTCTGTGATTTGGGCAAGAAAAAAAATATATTTTTCTGCTCCCACAAACACAAGACTAAAATTATAATTTTGACTCAAATTTTTCTTTAACAAATTCTCAACTATGACTACCACAGAGCAAAGGACAAACCCGGTACAGGAGAATCGTGGTTCAGGAGTGCCCTCTGCTGGTCAGAGATGGAGCAGTTAGCAGTCAGATGGTCCTGCTCACTGCTGCTGTGATCACTGGCATCACCTGAACAACTGCTACTACTGCTGCTGCTGCTGCTGCTGCTGCTGCTGCTCTGAGCCGGGGACTGATCTTGGTTCTGTCTCTCTGGCACCCCCTGCAGACACAACACACTCCTTCCTCTGGGCAGGACATCACGTCTGGACACTGGAAAGCCCAAACACACACACACACACACACACAAAAAGAAAACAGGAATCAGGATTCAAATCACACAACATTAAAAGGAAAAAGGTAAGATGGTTAAATGCCATTGCTTAGTTACAATAACGCATTAAGCACTTACAGATCTCCAGCAAAATGCGGTAGCCACACTTATGTAAGGTTGAGGGTGTTGTCAGGGCCCCAGGGATCGGACTGGGCTCAGTGTTTGAGGAGAACTGGGAGTGGATCCTCCTGCAGATCTGCATGAACAGAGCTGCTGCAGCCCCCTGCGGAGACACATTAGCTCCACTGTCATCGCAGCATAAGAACATGAGATGTGTACCACTACTCCTGGCACCGACATCATGGGAGTCCTCTTAAGTGTAATGGATTACAGTTGTAACATGCAAGTTTTCTCTTGCTACATGAATGTCATTATGTAGGCATGTGGCCAGTACAGTAGCAAACATCCCTGAGAAATATCAACAGGATTCATCCACTCTGCAGGGAACAGCAGCTGGAACACCAGTTTAGCACAAACTAAGTAAAAATTAAGATCCGGGAGTATCATGGTTACCTGGACGTGTCTCTTCTTCATCAGTTAGCATAGTTTTCACATGTCATGCAAGCTACTTGTGGTCTGTAGGAAACACCAAACCACGGGAACATCCAGCGGCTCATTTGTAACATGTGACACGTATTTAACTGCCAAGATTTGTGTGCACATTTTAATTACTTAACTTGTATATACACATTTATAACAGTGTAGACATATAACTTGTAGACTGTGAAGCTAAATGAATTGGGGTGTTGCTACATTTTTGACCCTCCAGGGTTCAGTGCTCAGTTACTCACAGGCCTCCCCAAATTGCATGCTCTCTGTGTTCAGTCAGATGTCACTCATTGAACTCAGCAAGGAATATGCCAGCTGCTGCATCCCTTAAGTTTTAATATATCATTATGTTTTCTAGATAATCTGATCACATACTTGATATGAAATCAATGTAAAACAGCTGCATTACAATCGTAGCCCATGCTGTTACAATTAAGATACACATGTGCTTCATTTGTAATATCAGACAGCGTCCATTTTTGGTCTGAAAATATTATATACAGTATCTCACGTAAGTGAGTACACCCCTCCCATTTTTGCAAATATTTCATTATATCTTTTCATGGGACAACACTATAGAAATGACACTTTGATATAACTTAAAGTAGTCAGTGTACAGCTTGTATAGTAGTATACGTTTACCTTCCTCTGAACACTACTCAAAACACAGCCATCAACATCTAAACAGCTGGCAACATAAGTGAGTACACCCCACAGTGAACATGTCCAAATTGTGCCTAAAGAGGAATCCTCTCCCACTCCTCCATGATGACATCATGGAGCAGATGGATGTGAAGACACCTTGCGCTCCTCCACCTTCAGCTTGAGGGTGGCCCACAGGTGCACAGGTGAGTTTAGGGCTGGATACATACTTGGCCAGTCCATCACCTTCACCTTCAGCTTCCTCAGCAAGGCAGTTGTCATCTACTAGGTGTGTTTTGGGTCATTATCATGTTGGAAAACTGCATTGCAGCTCAGTTTCCGAAGAGGGGCGATCATGCTCTGCTTGGAATTCATGTTTCCCTAAATGATCCGAGCTCCCCAGAGCCGGCAGCACTCACGCAGCCCCAAACCATGATGCTGCCACCACTATACTTGACTGTAAGCAAGGGACAGTTGTCTTGGTGCTCTTTCAGCATGTGTGGCACCTTGGTGAAGAGCACCAAGACAGCTCTGTTCATTTAGGGAAACATGAATTCCAAGCAGAGCATGATTGCCCCTCTTCGGAAACTGAGCCGCAATGCAGTTTTCCAACATGATAATGACCCAAAATACACCTAGTAGATGACAACTGACTTGCTGAGGAAGCTGAAGGTAAAGGTGATGGACTGGCCAAGTATGTATCCAGCCCTAAACTCACCTGTGCACCTGTGGGCATCCTCAAGCTGAAGGTGGGGTCGCGCAAGGTGTCTTCACATCCATCTGCTCCATGATGTTATCGTGGAGGAGTGGGAGAGGATTCCTGAAGCAACCCGTGAGCTCTGGTGAATTCCATGCCCAAAAGGGTTAAGGCAGTGCTAGATAATAATGGTTGGCACACAAAATATTGACACTTCAGGCACAATTTGGCACAATGTTCACTGTGGGGTGTACTCACTTATGTTGCCAGCTGTTTAGATGTTGATGGCTGTGTTTTGAGTAATGTTCAGAGGAAGGTAAATCTATACTACTATACAAGCTGTACACTGACTACTTTAAGTTATATCAAAGTGTCATTTCTATAGTGTTGTCCCATGAAAAGATATAATGAAATATTTACAAAAATGGGAGGGGTGTACTCACTTACGTGAGATATTGTATGTGGGTGAAAAAAATCTCAGAGTAAAACGTTAAAATGTTACACTTATGGTGACTTTCTCCTACTGCACACAAGAAATAGCGAACCACGTGCCATAGAGAGCAGAGAACAGTCTGCAGATTCTTTACAAGCAAAACTCTACACAGTATGAGCTCATCTTTAAGTAGAGGGGAGGAGCTCACCAGTTTGTGTGTTTGCATGTCCACAAGAAACAGGCTATGCAGAGAGATTAATTATGAAGGAAATCAGACAACACATTTATATGCATGTAGTAACCTGCATGAGATTGTTTGCGATGAAAACCTGCAGACTGCTGGCTTACCATGATACATTATTGGGCACCCCTGCTGTATACTTTAATAGTAGTGATCAAGAGAGACCAATAAGACCACTACATGGGGGTAAGCAGTGTATATGAGCAGCTAAACATTATATCACGTGATGAACGCCATCTCATATTATAGCAAAAGGCCATTTGTGCCACATTGCCTGATTGATATTTGTTTAATGGTTGCATTTTCTTTTACTTGGTGTCATTAAGTTCTACAAGTAGTATCATTCCTTTATTTAGTTTAAACAAGATTAAATACACAGCGCTCGGGGTGTTAAATAAGTGGGGAGATGAGACCAGTGACAAGCTCCGTGTGCAGCAAAGATTTTAGTTTTGGGGTGGACAAGTGTTGGCTGTTTGTTTTGTCATTAAAGATAAAGTTGGTTATTGTGATCGTAGTTAGCTTTAAATTCATTTAATACTAATAGCTGTCAAATAGTGTATGACAGCCAAACGATCATGTAATATTTGTGTAATCAGTTCAGGCTCTTTAAACCCTCAGTGAGCAGCCTCCTGACATCTTTCTTACAACAAAATGTTGACAAATCGTGAGCTATTGGCGTCTAGAAAGTAATACTGGACATATGAGTATATATAGAAGGTCTTTTATATCAAAAAAGGTAACAATTGAAGTCATACCCATCCCACAGCATCTAGGGCTGTGTAACGTGGAAGCTCAGCGTAGCCAAACTGAAAGGTCCTCTGTTTCTTCCTCCTCTCTCCATCTTCCTCTTTCTGAGAGCTGCAAGAAAAACAGCACAAACAAAATATTACAATTATGTCTGTTTCTGTTTCCAGTGTGTTGTACTAAGGCACCACAGAAACAAATACTCTGTTTGAGGGAGATGGCTTTGTTTCTGTGTCCTCAACCACCCCTGTTCATACTAACAACACATGCTGCTGGATGATGCAACCAGTTGAAAGGGGAGGCAGCATGAGTGCTCCGAGAGGAGAATGGGTTCAAAGAAGGGGTAAAGGAACAAGAAAGGAATGGGATGGGGGGGAGTCTCTGAGGTTTGACGTTAATTCAAAGGTTTTCTTTTCATCAGCTGATAATATGGCCAGTGGTTTGAGGGCAAAGAAGTCCTGAGATCAAAGTGAGACGCTCTGTGCTTTTCTTTCCTATTTCTTCTTTCTTTCAAGGCTTTTCTCATAAGTCCTCGACAACGTCTGCACAGTGGAGAAGAAAAAGGAGAAGCTGTGTGTGGAAAGTACCTGCCGTCAGAGGAGTGTCGGGAGGTGGAGAGGACAGCTGAGTTGTTGATGACCTCAACCTCCCCCAGTCCCTGAGACTGCCCCTGATTCTGGGGCAGCCGCAGGGGGTTGTTGTTGCCATGGCATCGATGTAGAACTGAGAAGTGAAGGGAATACGGAGACAGCAAACATGAGACATTAATGTCCAGTGTTTAAATTTCAGGGAAGAATACAAGGTTCCTCAGAGCTACCTGACATACAGTACATAGTCTGTCATTTCCTAATATATTTCTAGGAAATTTCCTGGAAAGAATAATGTATAATATGATAATAACTAATGGGGAAAAAAGAGACTAAGATCTGAGACCTTTATTTCAGTTTGGTTATGTTGATGGTTTTTAAGCAGTTGTTGATTTCCAAAGTATTTTTTTCAACTTATTTGGTTATCACTGGAAACTTTATTGTCTATCAATGTTAAACTGTATTCTTAACTGCTAATTTTTTTTTTTTACATTTTTGCATGTTTGTGTAGCTGACCTGCTGTGCACTAACAAAAAGACTCTCTAGATATGACACTAGAACTAATTAGAATTAATTGACTGGGATAAAACTCTGCCTCACTTTTGCCTAAAACAAGTACAAAGTTACAAAGTCATTTTCAGGAACCTTTCAACAAATTTTCAAACACTAATTACTTATCTCTAGGACATGACAGGAAACTACGGGACATAAAAAGTGGTAGCAAAACATGTGCAGCGACACTTATGTAGTATCAAAGTCCTACAATATCATCTAATTAACAAAGACCACATTGTTTTTATCTCATGTTAATGCATTTTACAGAGGTTGTAAGAACCCAAATTATGTGATCTCTTTGGTTAACTTGTGCACACTGACTTGCATGAAACAAAATGTCATTATTTTAAAGAGCGATAAGGCGTTATAATGACAGAGACGCAATGCAATACTATTTTTTTTTTTTTTTAAGTTTCCCAAAGTATATGTGCACAAAGACAAATACAGGGATCAGTAAAACACAAATATAAGCTATACAAATCAGTAAGGTACTGTTCATTACTTATAAGGAGAGAGGGGGTCGGTGCAAAAAGGGGGAGGCATGTCAAATCAAGCACTGGGGAGAGACTTGTGTTTTTTTATTTTGGCTTAGGGGAGGGGCATACAAACTTAAACAGCTGTATTTTGTATTAATTTTACAGCAGATTATTAAAAGGAAACAGTCTGGAAGGTGTATTTTCTTGAAGAATTGCCAAAAATCACACCATTAATCACAGCCAGAAACTTTGAAAACATAAATTAGTGTTGGATTTTCAAATTTCTGACAGTGCTAGAACACATAATGTGCAGTGAACGCTTCTGTAAGAAAAATCATTACCAAATCTGATCTTACAATAGTGATATTTCATCAAAATCACTTTATTCTACATTTCAATTCCAAATTTGGCCAAAAATAAATCTTTTGCACTAACTAACCAGCATGCACATCATGAGTGAAAAATCAAGGCTCTTTTCAACTCATTTTCCACCTGTCACTCAGATACACTCAAGGAAAAATATTTGTAGCTTCAAGGAGGGTAAAGAAAATAAAGTCACACCCCTCCTCTGATAAGTAAAGAACAGTCCTTAATAACTAATAGGTTAGTCAATCCATGGCAGGCAAACACAGATATTTAAAAATAGAAATCCAGACACTGGTGTAAGAATAAGGGTGAGGATGAATAGTTATGAAATTTACAGACAAAGCATTTAAAACACATTTCTCCAACAAAACATCCTGTATGTGTGTGTACATGCCACGTGCGCAGGTGTTTCATGAAGGTAGCGTTGTTGACACTTGACTAACGGTGTCATGTATGTGAGTGTATGTTTGTGTGTACAAGAGCATTACTGTTTAGCTATAAACAGCCTCTGGACATGTTTATCGAAAGGTCTAGAAACCGGCTGTGACTGGAGCTCAGTGACAGGACTTCAGTTACAGGAGCTCAGTTCACTGACTGACCAAAATAAACCGGGTGACGGTGTCAGTTACAACAATACGGTAAAACTAGATAAAGTAGTTTCCTATTTTGAATGAATTGACTTTACTAGTGATTAGCTAACCAGCTAACGTTACGCTACATGGGAATAATAATATATAGCGTTTATTTCTTCATTTAACGTTAAGCGATACAACACGGCACTGTGTGAAAAGGGGGATGTGCCCCTGACATGTGTCTCACCTCTTCCAACAAAACCTTGAACTCTCCACATGGTTCGTCTCTTACAGCAGCTTTATCTCAGGAGTCTCCGGCGAGGCATGTTTAATGTCTGTTTGAGTCCGTCTGTCGCCATTAATAACGACAGCAGCCGTTACTCGTTCTATTGACTCCGGCGGGTGAGTGAAATCAGTCACGAGATCCGTCGGAAGAGCACCAACCCGGAAGTGCCTCCTATGACGCAACAGAGAAAGTTTGAGAGGGTTGTTAACAGCGTCACAGCGCCACCATGCGGGGCAATGGAGAGTAACAGCCTTATAGAAGACCAGCGTGTGCCAAGACTGTTGGGAGGAGTAGCTACAGTAAGTAAATAAAGATTATAATGAGGCTTGTATATAAAAATAACCAACAAACAAAACTAATATGTGCCCTTAATATATTTCTGAATCGTGGCACAGGAGAAGAAAACAACTTACCATTGTTCAGAGGGGCAGATAGAGAGCAGGCCTTTGCAACTGATTCAAACTGACACCTTGACTGGAAATATTCCTGTGTTCAAAGATGAATGATTGAAAAAAAGGATAATATTAATATAAAAATTATGCCATTTGCTATACTGTATATGTCCTCAAAAAGGCATACCCATCTGCATCATGGTTTTCTTTTCTTTCTTTTTTTTTTTAAATAGTAAGTAGCTATCTAAAACAATTATATGCTTTATCTAAGTAGAAAATCTATAAATATACTATAAAACTATTCAATTAAATTATTACTTTCTAACTTTCTTTGATATTTTTGTTAGATATGCAGTGATGATTGTTGGGTAATATGTATGTTGATGTTGTCTAATGTCACTTCTCTATTTGTGTCAAGACAATACATGCACGATAGTGTGCACTGGGGCCCTCCGTAACCTCCTTACACCACTGCTACTGTTAAATATCTTCTGGGACACTACCTATAGGCTATATTGGGGGTTCAAATTTTTATATTTGCCGTTGGATGTTGTGTGCATACACCCTGGAATTTTTGGTTTATTGTTGATTGATGTGTCGGAATAACTCCCTAAGTGATGGGTCATCCCTTTGTATCAGTCATTCAGCAGCACAGTGGGTATAATATAGGCAGATCTCAGGTATGTTCAAAACTAGATGTTTTTTAGTTCTTTAATTTTGACCTCCTTTAAGCCAGCCAAAATAAATAAATAAATAAATACAAAATAAATAAATAAATAAAATCCCCACACTACAATTTTTGTTTAGTTTAGAGCTGAGAAGGATTTGAAGGATTTGACCATAGTGGTACTCAGCCAGGTGTCTGGAGACAATCACAGGTTATTGACAGTGATCCAGGGGGGTGCCAGAAAAATGGGGGGAACTATTTCTTTTCAATTAAATTAAATCCAGTTCAATTAAATTCAGCTCAATTCAATTCAATTCAATTCAATTCAGATCAGTTTAGTTCAGTTCAATTCAATTCAATTTCATTTATGAAGCCCAATATCACAAATCACAATTTGCCTCAGAGGGCTTTACAGCATACTGCATCCCTCTGTCCTTTGGACTCTCACAGCGGAAAGGAACCCCCCCCACCCCCCCCCCCCCCCCCCCCCCCCCCCCCCCCCTCCTCAAAAAAAAACCTTTAATGGGGGAAAAATGATAGAAACCTCAGGAAGAGCAACTGAGAAGGGATCCCTCTTCCAGGATGGACAGACGTGCAATAGATGTCATGCAACACTATTTAATTCATGATAGACGTGAGCCTGATGTGAGTAAGAATCATAAGGGTGACTATTCTGATCATAGGTTTCACTTCCTCCTCAGCTGTAGTTGAGTCTGGTCAAAGAGCATGGATACCGAGAGGCGAAGCTCCATTGAATTTCTGCCAACAGCCACTGGGGGCGCTAACGCCACTTTGAACTGTTGAGCTTGGACTGTTGCGCCCAGACAACATGCAAGATGTCAAGGAGAGAGGAGAAAACAAGTAAAAGAAAACAGTGTAGTACAATTAACTGGCACAGCTATCAGTGGAACACCCCGCACCTGGCCTTCCACCGTTTCCCGAAGGATCCCGACAGAGGTGTACGTTTTAAAGTGTTTTAATATCAATTTAATATGCCAGTTTTGGTAGGAAGATATATATATATATATATATATATAGGCCTATATATGGCCTCTTGGACCATTTATATCAGAAGTGATTACTGCTTTAGCATTAAAATATATCATATTAAAATCGCTTATATATTATTGTTATTATTACTGTTCCCTTACTGTACAAACTGTAAATAAATCTTTATTCCTGACTATGTGACGTCGCCATTAATGTGTTTCTAGTTAAAATATTGATTTTTTTTAATTATTATTTATTAATTTTTTGGGTAGATTGGCTTATGGGGTGATTTTGAAGGAGTAGTTAAGTTAATCTTCTCATAAGTGGATGTAATATGTAGAGATGCCATCTAGGCCGTTTTTCTTCGTTTTTTTTTTAAAGTCTATATTTTGCTTTACAAAAACGTGAAAAAGCAGCTGGGACCAAGCTATCACGAGGTGGGTAGCATTGTAAGCATAATTAATAGCGATATACTTCAGTTTGTCTGTGTGTTTTTGTATGCAAGCGGGTCTGCTGCGGTCTGCTTACAGTCCAATATGGCGGCGGTAGGACGAAACCATGGGCGAGTCTGTTGCTATGGGGCATTCTATTGAGCTTCGCCTCTTGGTATCCATGCTCTTTGGTCTGGTCTACATCATATTTAACAGTCAGATGGAGGTCCCTGAAACAAATCCTATTAAATGGGGGTCTGTGACCTGATGTGTATCAACTTAGCTCCTTGGCATGAAAAAGGAGACAAGCTGGCCTAGAACGTGTTGGGCCTAAATGCCTGTATGTTTGTGCAAAGGGGAAGGCAACTGCATGACAAATGTATAGAGTGCTCTTCATAAGGCAAATGTGCATTCATCTCTCTTTTAGCATGTTTAAATCTGTGCTGCAGAGGAGACTTTTTAATTGGTAGCACAGGTGTTACTAATAACATTAACGATGGCTTGGTTCTATTCAAGTGTCACAGTAAGCCGCACAGTGAGCCAGTGAACCAGCAGCATACACAATACCAGGATCCTGAAACTAAAGCAGCTAAAGCATTCATATTTTTAAAATTGGTAACTGTGCTTCATGAACAGTGAAATGTCAACAGGTCCTCATGGTGTATGACTCAGGGTTTATTTAAACATTACATCACATTTATGAAGATTCATGTCTGAAAAGGTGTTACAGTAAAACTGAGTTCAGACTGCAGCAAGAATATGAAGTAGAGGCTACTATCTTTGCAGTATTATATCGAAAAAAACACAACACTTCCCTGCTTTAAACATATACCCAGGTGTATATATTAGAGGTACAGGCTTCATAAATAGGAAACTGCAAATTTAAAATGGCATTTCAAAACCAGCACAATTTGATAGTCGCAATGCTAAAATATAAATGCCTTGCAGAAATATGCAACGAATACCTTAAGTCCTAAAATCAATAATTTGTAGAGATCCAGCTCACTCAGGGAAGCAACATTTTACTTTCAAATTAAGTTTCTGCATAGTCATGAATATGGCATAGAGACCACCAGGCTTTATGACAGTGTCTAATTAAAAATTAACCAACTTTTTGACATTAATTCAAAGACTTCTTGCTTCTGTTGCACTTCTCTCTCAAACACAATTTCTCCGAGGACACATCTAGGTAAAGTTTCTCAGGATTGTCAGCTCAGTTTTTAGTGTAAATTTATAATGGGCTGTGAGGTGGTGTGGTGAATGAGGAGATTGTGCTGTCTGTCTGTCTGTCTGTCTATCTATCTAGATGAATGAAGACTTTACTCATGGGTTCAGGGGGTGATTTAGTAAACCGCCCACAGCTCATCACTCACTCTGCAGGACAGTTTGGCTTTTCTTTACTCGGCCTCTGGATCAAACAGTGACGCACGCCTCGACTCTTCCTGGAAACGTGCACACTCTTTCAGTCAGATGGGGCTAAACAGGGGGCTGGAGGGAGGCGATGTGCTGTTGTGAAGTCAGATTAAACTTGGAATAATTCCCTCCTTGACCAGTTTCCATGGTGACACAGTCATCATGTCTTTCACTTACCAGCCTCCATGGGCGAATAAGTCTATCCTGCAGTAGTTTGTAATGTTAGCAAGATCTCTGCACTGCCAAATAATGTTTGCTGACTCGCCTGGGGCCAAATTTGTCTGGGCAATATGGAAAACACCGAGTTGAGCTGGAAACAGAGTCCCACTAGAGATGACTAATTGAGCAGTTTGTTTTTACCCATGTTTCAGTCTGTATTCGAGTTCTCAAGTTTGGGAAATTTAAAGCAGGGAGGGGACTTAATAAGTACTGAGCAATTTTTGAAATCTCATTTGCTCTTTGTTTTGTGTTACCTTCGAAACATTTCTCCCCCGTTGCTGCGGTTCATGACTCTCTGGCTGCCTGCTTGTTCACAAATAAATGGGTTCCCAGCCAGTGGGTGCAGACATAGTAAAAATGGAGCTGGGTATTATTGAAGGCAGTGGTGGAAAGGAAGTAAGTAAACTTACTCATGTGTTACGCTTCAGTACAGTTTAGGGGTATTTGTACTCTACCTTGATACTTTAATTGGATGCCACTTTAAACTTTTACTCCACTACATTGGAGCCAGCTGTAGTTACTTCTTGTATTGAGAGTTTACACAAAAACACATGATAAGCTATAGGAAAAACAAAAGCTAAATCCTAACTGACAAGCAGTGCATGTTTCAGATGTTAATGAATCTGATAGCTACAGAACATCTCTTACTTCCTGAATTAATAAATATTCCAGCAGTAAGTGAGACACTGTGTGGATGGCTTTGATTTTTTAGCAGTTACACCTGAGAGTGATCTCCCCTTTACAGTTATCAGATGGCTTCATTTAATTCCTTGTTAAGCTCGAGGCCCAAAGAACGAAATTAATCTCATATTTTCTAATAGTTGAATCCAGATTATTGCCAAGTAGGATTCCACATACAAGGATTTTACTTTGGAGTATTGGTGCGTCACATGAACCTATTAGGAGAATATAAAATTAAAAGTAAGATCTTGTGTTGCAAAGATAAATGGACATAAATATGACAGTGGCTAATAACAGGTTGGCTGACACCGCTTTAGTGTTTCTAAAACATACATAATACATGTTAAGATCTGGTTTTTAT